TTGAAAAATGTTTCAGAACTTTCAGAATCATACTGAATTTTTTTATGCAACTTAGAATTGCATACAAGCTAACGGACCACCTGATGGAAAGCGGTAACCGTAGCCTTGCAAACACAACTGCTTCACGGTAGAAATACGAATAAGACACAGGTACCCAAGCAAGCGAATTTTATACAAAGTTTCTTGTACTTGATATTATTCCTCTTTTATTAATTATGTGACAATTGGAGCTGCTATTTTTCTTTATAGAACACCCACATGTTATAAAGCAAAATCTACATACATATTTATAGATTAGATATACGATCCCGCGTTCTTAATTAAAATTCTTAATCATGATTAGGCATAGCTGCGGTTTTGCCTACTCACTAAAATATTCATATCTTTAAAATAAATAATATGTTGCTCAGACGTTTAAGCATAGAACAACTATAAGTTTCTAGACATGAGTAATATTCGAACTGCTGTAATATCTATGTATTGAGCTATTTTGGACATCGATGGCGGAAAAAAGGTCATTACCCATTCCGACATCGCCCGTACCGGTCAGATATCTGTATTAATTTCGATCGGGTTCTTCGTTTCGATATTTAATATTGGTTAACAAATATTTTTAACATAATCGTTATTGCATCAGGGGTTATTATTATTTATTCTAGAATCTGACAGATTTCTAGAGAAGGACCTCTAGAAATCTGTCAGATTCTAGAATAATACGGGCATGCGACCCTGGCCTCCCGAGCCGCTGCAGTGTCCCAGTCCTTTTCGCAACTAGTGATCCCCCCCTTTCCATTCCCACATAAGTCCCTTATTCCTCTTATTTACCAATTTCCTTTACGCATTTCCAACGTGCCCTTCATTTTTTCTTCAATCCTTTCCTCTATACTGTAGGTGGCGGAAACCACCAACAAATACTTTCCCAAAGAGGATTGACGTCAGGCAGGCGGTTGGATAAAAAAGATTTTTTTATACAACTTAGAATGGCAAACAAGCTGACGGCCCACCTGATGGAAAGTGGTAATCGTCGCCTATAGACATGAGCAGTACCATGGACATAACAGAGTATACTGTTTCGCCCATGATACCCCCCATGCGTTGCCATTCTTGAGGACTTAAGTGTTATTCCTCTGTAACCTGTAAATTCACTGCCATATCCCACCCTTCAAACCGAAACACAGCCATGGAAACACAACTGCTTCACGGTTGAAACACGAATGGGACAGAGGTACAAAACATAACGACTTTTGTACAAATAATAATTGGAATAAGGGTGGGAAGATGGTTATTGGGCCAATATATATTTTGTAACTAAAACATATAGATATTGCTATTAATTAGTTCTATAAGTTACAATTAGTTACAAGTTTGCACACGACTAAGTCGTTAACATCGCTTATCAGATTACTCGAATTACTGTGAATTAAAGTGAACACACAAAACTGCTAATACTGGTATGATGTCATCGACTGTGAAAACATTTTCAACTCTAGAACCAGATGCGATTCTTAGAATCGTTATAATTAATATTAGGGTCCTAAATTGTTTGATACATTTCTTGAGAATTCAACGATTCTTAGGAACGCTTTTAATAATTTAGTTAGTGTTAACCATCGCAGTAAACAGTCTGCAGATGTAAATACTCCGCCTGAAGACTGAACTGAATGTATTAAATTATATAGAAGTGTAGTTATCAAATGTGTTACTTTTATAAATACGCTCTATAGCAGGGGTGGGCAAATATTTTGATAGTCGGGCCACATTGCAGATGAAAATTTGACCTCGGGCCAGTTTTTTTTTTCTATTTTTAAGCCTAACTTTTACTAAGGATGTCAATTAATGAATTATAAAACCAACATATTTAAATCAAAATATTTATCTATCAAGTCATTTGAATAAAAAAATTAAAAAGAGAATTTTTAAGCATTAATATCAGATAATTATCAAACTGTACAATTATCATACAAAGCTGTTATTAAAAGTATTACCACTATCATCTATGCTTAATAGATTTAGTCACAAAAAACATGAACAGCAAATGCTGGCAACACTGTGGTGATTTACATAGACTATTAATTTGACAGAACGTCAAATTAATAGTTTATACAATGCTTCAGGGGCCAGACAAAATTCTACCGCGGGCCGGATTCGGCCCGCGGGCCACCATTTGCCCAGGTCTGGTCTTGGGTTTAAGTTGTAACTTGTGAAAAAATTTAAATAAAATACAGACATTCCAAATATACGAAAACTTCAATTATGGTCCCCTGCTCCTTGTCGAGGTTTTCCCAAGAGACTACAGCACGGGGTTCTTCAAAAGAGGGGTAAAGAGATTTCTTCAGGGTCAGCAACGCGCACGTAATACCCCTGGTATAGCAGTCGTTCATAGGCTACGGTAACCGTTTACTATTAGGTGGGCCATATGCTTGTTTGCCACCTCAGTGGTATAAAAAAATATAAGTCTAAATATAATTAATTCAAAATTGAAAATTAACTTAAAATTATTTTAGGGTGGAGACAAAAACAAACATAATTTAAATAAGTAGATTTAACCAACGACCGCCTGTATTAAATCATGACTGTAATTGAATTAATAGCAAAATCTGCTAAAATGGGAAATACGATAATGAAAACAGACATCAGATGACATTGCATGATTATAAAATAATTGCCTATCAGACTGAATTAAAATTTAAATATTGTAACCTAGTTGTTGTAACGCCAGATGTACATAGCATAACTATGTAATATTAATGTCACACTATTTAGTCCATTAGAATTATTTAATTCCACTACCATGTGGTCTCGGTATAGAATAGACTATCCCTTCCTTTCCCGTGGGTATCGTAAGAACCGAATAAGGGAGGGCGAGGAATGGGCAGCAACGTTTTGAATATCTCTTGAGCCTAGCTGCGGTTGCTAATCCACCTGCCAAGCGAGGCAACTACTGACAGGACCTCCTAAGGAGGAGACTTATGTTCATCAGTGGATGATTAAAGATATGATGATGATGATGACCATTAGTATGCGTCTGGACGGCAAAATGCTAACATTAGTCTCGAGCAGCAATCTATTAATTTGCCTGAAAATTCCTCGTATAGATCGTGTCGCAAAACATGCGTGGACCGAATGACAGTCGGGGATTGTTAGCTAATATGGAAGGCTTTAGAATTTCTGTTAATAATAATGGTAGTCAATCTCAGAGTGTTGGCAGTTGCACGCTTACTAAAGGTAGAGGAATTAAACAAACTAATTCTAATCAATTAACCAGTGATATGGACTTCTGCAAAATAATACCAAATCAGTAAAATAATGTCACACAAGTATGAGTACATTTTACTCCGTAATAAAACAGCGGCTCGTTTCGTAACAAATTACGAAACTTCGATAAACAGCGAGATGTTTCATAAACACATTATTTTTGAGCGAATTCCAAAAAGAAAATGTTATCAATACAAGTTAAATAAAGTTATCAAAATATAATCCATTAGCGATTCGACCCGGCTTCGTCTTTGTTACTTGCTGAAAATATAGCTTTCTATAGGTGAAATAATTTTTAATAATGAGTTTATCTTTTACAAACAATAGTACATTACTGCAGCGGCCAGCAACTGAGGCATTGATGGACTCACGTATGTGGGCCGAGGCGTAGCCGAGGCACGATTTGCACGTACGTCCATCAATGCCTAGTTACGGCCAAGGCTTGTATAGTACTTTTCTCAAATAATACGCGGAAATCAAAAACACAATTTTACTTTTTAAGTTCAATGACGAATAACGAACAACAATAATTTATCACGCGCCATAATGTTCCTTTGTTTTTTTTTTTCAATAAACAGTTTTCTATTTGTAAGCCAATTCGAAATTTATATAAAACCTTTTATTAGTTACCTCCTTGGTAGCCATGTTTCGAAGTAAAAGGTCATTCCATTTTTAAATTACAGGACAGATATGAGTTTACTTAGTAATTTATCTGGCCGCAAAACACGACAGATATGGATTTCCATACAACTTTTGCTGGCCGCTGCCCGCATGTATCTGGCCAGTACGGCAATTTTGATTTATCTCGAAGAAGATTGTCAAAATAATGCTCACATTTCCAAGTATGTTTGAGAAAACAATATTTCCTCTTTATAAAGAGGAAATATTGTATTGAAATTAATATAGATTACACAAATTTCGTGAAAATCGAAGTTGCTGTTTTTTTTTTTGCGGAACAAATAACTGCATGTTGCATAACAAAATCTAATTTAAGTCCATTTGATTCTGCATTTTTAATCTAAATATTTTTAATTTAATGTATGTATATATTTTTTTGAGACTTAGGATAGCAAAGAAGCCGACGGATGGTGTACTTCATGGAATACGCTTCATCACTACCATGGACGTGATGTCCAGCCGTGACGTGAAGCCCTTGGTAACCCTCATTCGCATTACGCAGTATTCCACATAAAAAAACCGACTTAAATTACGCCAAACCGTTATTACCTCCCAGAGGGAGACTGTACAAAAGTCGATTGCTTGGGTACTTCTGACCCATTCGTGTTTCAACCGTGAAACAGTTGTGTTTGCATGGCTGTGTTTCGGTTTGAAGGGTGGGATATGGCGTGAATTTACTGAGTACAGAGGAATAACGCCTGAGTCCTCAGGAATGGCAACGCATAGGGGTATCATGGGCGAAACAGTATACTCTGTTATGTCCATGGTACTGCTCATGTCTATAGGCGATGGTTACCACTTTCCATCAGGTGGACCGTCAGCTTGCTTGCCATTCTAAGTTGTATAAAAAAAACTTTACGATTAAAAACTAAACTATTGAATCGAGTTTCATAAAATTTCTATAGGACTAATCTGTAAGTATATCCTTTCAGATAAAACAAGAATTTTCCAAATCGGTTTACAACTGATGGCGTTATAAGGTAACAAACAAAAAAAAACTAACCGAATTGTACTCAAGGGGTACTCTCCTTGATTTTGAAGTCGGTAGAAAATGTCAAAAGACTCACTTGCCGGACAGCACGAGGGAGAGGCTGTCCACTTTGGTGACCTTCTCGTGCGCGTACAGTTCATGGCACTTGAGGTGTCGCACGTTCCGCATACACATTAGCACGCGGCGGAACTGTCTCCTTGACACCCTTAGGGGCTTGAAGAGAGCCACGTAGACCTGCGGAAACATTTTGGGCTTAGTGCAGTTCAAAATTGGCAAAAGACTGTTTTTCGTGATCTTTCAAACTTTTTTTTTATTCTGGAGATAAAGTTTTAAGTCAGCAAGTTGATCAGTGATTAGAGTTCCGCGTTATTGAAAATAAAATAAATATACTTTCACCCCAAATTAAGAGGTATTTAATGGATGATAATGGAATTGTAGCCCCACCCGCGCTATTGGTATACAACGGTGGGGCACCAGTGAGGGATAATAGATGAGGATGAAGTGGGTCAGTCAGCCCATCGAGACGAATTCAACAAGAATTGTTCACGATGGTTTCCAGGGGGAGCCACGTGGAGGTCGACCTAATGGGGTATACTATAGCAATGGGGCTGTCGAACTCCAGAGTGTTGTTAGCAATAGATACTATACTAGCTGTACCATTGTTACTAGAAACCCTCGAGGTAACTCATCGCGATACAATGGGCTAACTGATCAGACTTGATCCTCCCTTACTGGCTTGCCAACGTAAACCAATAACGCAAGCAGGCTTATCATCCGATTATATCATTATATAATACTAGCGGCCCGTCCCGGCTTCGAACGGGTGGACATTTTTACAACATTTTAATTGGTTTTTATGACATAACGATAATAGTTGGACATATACTATTGCTAAGTTTTTTGTAGTTATTGATATTTTCTTCAATATTGTAGAACATACTTTTGTTCCATCACCAATAGTTTCCGCAGCGCACGCGACAAAAGATATTTTATAGAATTTTTTTACACCTTGAGTTACGTTACTAAAGTTTTAGTAAGGGTCCCTAATCTTTTCTAGCAATAAATATAGCCTATGTTACTCAGGGTGAATGAAGCTTTCTAATGGTAAAAGAATTCTTAAAATCGGAAAACTAGTTTTTGAGTTTATTCATTACAAACATACATACACACAAAAATACAAATCTTTCCTCTTTATAATATTAGTGTAGATTATTTTATACGCCATTATTTTGGCAAAACATACATGTTCATAACATATTATTACTGGCATCTACAATATATACTGTGTTTTTTAAACATATAAATTATTATTATAAATAAAATCTTACATGTATTTGTTGATCGTTGCAGTTATGTAACATATACTCGTATAACGTAACACTCGACATATATAAGTTTCATTGAACTAGGGTTGTCAACATTTTTTCGGTTAATTATATTTCAAAATATAGTATAAAAAAGAAAGTATACTTAAAAATGTAGTATTTCTTGGAGAGATTGCAAAAAACAATTGTTAGCGAGATACTCTGTTTTTACTACCTCGAATTTATAATTCAAAATATCCTTTCTGTGGGTGCCTACTAAATATTTTTTTAATAAAGTTTTGCATACAATGTCTTAATTTAACAATAAATAGTACGGCGAGCAGAAATAGAGTACTATACTATATATTACAGTACAGTTGGCAACCCTACACTGAAATATTTGAATCCATCGTGGCAGGAGGCGAGCTTACTGGCGTCAATTTAATTGGCATTGCAGATAATTAGCTGAGAGCGACCTTTTATATGACATCATTCACGTCCTAATATCATTCTTTGAATAGAACCAGAGTGATATCACATTTAACAGAATTTAAATTTTATACATTCTATACATAGACGTATTGGAAGGGAGGATGGGAGTGCTTTGTGCCCACCATAGAACTGCATGTAAGACATGTCTCCAAAGTACATAAGCGCCTTTTAAGGGGCCAGACTCGATGTTACCGTGTGGTCGTGGCATTGAAAGGACCATCCCTTTCTTTCCCGTGGACGTCGTAAGAAGCGACTAAAAGAACTTAAGGGTCGAGGGATGGACAGCAGCGTCCCTCTTAAAACATCACCAAAGTCTAATAAATGAGTACACTTTATTTGCATTATACAGTATAGGAAATAAGCACGACAATTTACAAACACAACGATACAATTGTATAAGTACAGTAAGGCGGTCTTATTGCTGAGAGCAATCTTTTCAAGACAACCTTAGGGTAATGGACTAATTGTTGTACAAGTAAGTATGATAATACTGTATAATTAACCCTCCGCCAACCGTGTTTTTTTTTGCACACCGTCTACCGTCACGGACGATATCGTCTTAGAGGGTAATTTAACCTACTTAAAGGTAGGGAAAAATTCCAAAAAAAAATCGAGGAATATGTTCTAAATTTCTTTTTCCTGTTTCCAAAGTTCTTGACTTGAATACTTGTTGAAATAAAATTTTGTAATGTCTACAAAAAACTATATATATATATATATATATATATATATATATATATATATATATATATAATGATACAGGCAACAACTGATAACACCCATCAATAGGGAGAGACCTATGTTTAGCAATGGACGATGAATTTAACGAAATGACGATGATGAAGGGGCCAGGTCTACCCTGGACGATAACCTAAAATATACCAATAATTCTATATCAAATAAATATTCTTTAATTTGGATAATTTCACAATAACTAATGACAAAGACATCCAGTAACCTAGTTATGTTTGAAATACTTTTTGATTAAGCCGGCTATTCATCGGGTGATTAGGGTCGAGTCGGGGCCGTTTGAGTTGAATCCCTCTTCAAGTAAATTAATAAGAAGACTTTTCATAAAATAACTTTTGCTTTTGAAGAAAAACTTCAATCATGACAAAAATATGGTGTGCGTTAATCTAAAGAAATATCATACGTTAAGCGAAATCATACGTCACTCCAGACACGTCGCTTTCAAGCCACTATAACTATTTCAATAGACTGTTTTGAATTATACCGCACATAAGGATCACGAATTGATCCCAAAACCAATCGAGCTTTCTGGATCTATTTTTTTTTTGATGGATGAAAATGGTATGGTAACCCCGCCTGGGCTAACGGGATACGCTGGCGGAGCACCAGTGAAGGGTGATAGATGAGAATGAAAACAGGTCAGTTAGCCCATCATGATGAATTCATCAGGAATTTACCATGATAGTTTCCAGGGGGAACCGCGAGGAGGTCGACCTGGTTGGGTATATTGCTAGCAATGGGATTCTCAGTCTCCATTACTAACAATCCCTTTCCCCCCTTCTGGATCTAATTACATGTAAGTTAAATCGGTAGTTATTACATTAAAATAAAATGTGTGCCTAAAATGTTATTATATATTAAACTTTTAACAAAAAACAAAAATGCTACAAATCACAACTAATTTTATCTAAAAACCCGTTTATTTTTTTTTATTTTTCTTTCCTTAAAAACCTTAATCGGACTATTTCGAACATAAAAAAAAATTACCAAAACTATTGAACCGTTCTCAAATGATGTACTCACCAACAAACGGCATTTAAATATATGAAAAGGATTGATAGTAATGGAGAGGTTTGTCCCCATTGCTATCAATAAGAGTATATCAGGTCGATCTCCACGTGGTTTCTCCTGGAAACCATCTTGATTAATATATCGTTAAATTCATCACAATGGGCTAACTATTTAACTAAGCTTTTTCATCTTCACCAATCATCCCTCACTGGTGCCCTGCCAGTGTATACCGACAGCGCAGGCGAGGTTATCATTACATTATCATCCATTAAATAAAATATAGACAGTTAATGATAATAAAACCAATGTGGAGGGGGGAAGGGATTGTTAGTAATGGGGATTAGCAACCCCATTGCTAGCAATAAACCCTATCAGGGCGACCTCCTCGCGGTTCCCCCTGGAAACCATCGTGATTGGTTTATTGTTGAATTTACGATGGGCTAACTGATCTGCTTCACCCTCATCTATCATCCCTCACTGGTGTCCCGCCAGCGTATACTAATAGCGCAGACGGGGCTACCATTTCATTATCATCCATTAAAATAAAAAAAAAAAACCTATGTGGAAGATAGCAAATACCGGATGCGACACAACTGATAATGATCAAATAGATTGTTAATTGTTTACAGAACACTTGACTTCACCCTTAGCTAATACTGGTTACGGAACTGGCGTGCCTGTTCCGAGGCGGATTATGAAAGTGAACGAAGCAAGAAAAGTGTGTATGGCCTAATGATAGCTTTGGCATTAAAGAAACCCTTGCTCATAAGGGACTTGGCATTCATAAAAGGCCGGTAATAAATGACGACCTAGTATAATTATAATCACATTATACTAGATCACTATTTATAATCACAATCTCGTCTTCTTCTTCTCATGCTCTCCCCTAGGGGGAGCCGGGGAAACCTGTCCGGGGTTTTTTACCCCTCTCAGGTGGTCTCTAACCGCCGCTCATTAATATGAGCGGGTCGTTGGGGTGAACCTGGTTCTTAACGTGCCGCCCCGTTCACTCTGCGCGGTCTTCGCCTGCCGGGTGAGACCCCGTGGGGGAGGCCCAGCAAACTGCCAGCGTTTGAATGATCGGGACGGCATTTTCAACCCTCATCAGAGGGGGGAGGGGTCTTCATGTGTCCATGGCGTCTTCCTCTGGGTTTTCTTGCACACGAGCTATTAGTTCGCGTGCGTAGGGCTTGTGGTCCGGAGGTCGCGCGTGCAGGGGCGCTATTCCCTTTAGGTGGTCCCAGCCCGATGCGTCCGCACGCGCGAACATCTTCGTTGCGAGGCTGCCGATGAATTCGTTCAGCGGAGGGATCTTTAGGTCCCTCTCCAAGGTGGCGTTCCTTACGTATTTATGCGCGCCGGCGATGGTGCGCAGTGTAAGGTGTTGTTGCGCGCTGAGTTTCTTTTTATTCGACGCAGATGCGTAGACATACCATGCCGGCGCTGCGTACGTAAGTCGCGGTCGGATGTATGTCTTGTAAATGGCCGTCTTTATTTGGAGAGGGAGTCTTCCTGTCAACGCTGGGCGAAGGAGGTGCCTGGCCACCCTGGTCTTGTTGCAGACCCCCTTGATGTGGGTGTTGAAACTTAGACGCCGGTCGATGTTCACCCCCAGGTAGGTGACGGTGGTAGACCACTCGATCGGGGAGTCGCACAGGTGCAATTTGGGAGGGCAGT